AGACACACACAAAAGATTTATACACACACACACATTTATATTTTTAGAGAATAGATGTTTGGGAAGAAATATGTAAACATATATATTTACTATAATTTTTTTAATGAGTGGTTGGGGAGTGGGCTGAGAAGGGACCTGATAAGAACAAAGGTCTTGAACAGAGAATTCAGAATCTCCGTGCTAGAAGAAGAGGAGCTCATAAGGGAGCCAACAGGAAGGGGCAAGGATTTCCCAGGAGAAGAGACATCGCCTCCCTTTTCTCTTTATGACCAGATCCTCATGCGTGTGTGATACGGGTTGGACGGGGCCAGAGTGTGAGGCTGAACTGGGGGACTGCAATTCCACACCCTGCGCCCACGGGGGCACCTGCTACCCCCAGCCCTCTGGCTACAACTGCACCTGCCCCACTGGCTACACAGGTGAGGCCCCAGGGCTAGTCACCCCCTAAACCAAGGGTTAAGCCTATGGGAAGTAGAGCTGTGGTTCAAGTGTCAGAGTGCTAGCCTTGAGAGAAAAAAAAAAAAAAACTAAAGGAACAGTGCTCTGGCCCTGAGTTCGAACCCCACTACCATCACATACAAAAATCTATCCTAAGAGTTAAGTATATGGTTAAGGGCTCTGCAACTCAGTTATCACCAAGAACAGAACATGGGGTTCAGGAGACCCAAGTGATATACAGGAGGTGAGGGGAGTAAGGGGAGGTTGGATGAGGATAAGGAAGGGAAGGGACACAGAAGTAGAAGAAGAAAGTAGAAGGAGAAAGAGGACCTCCTTTATCAGACCCTACCTGCTCCGTCAGGGCCCACCTGCAGTGAAGAGGTGACAGCCTGTCACTCGAGACCCTGTCTCAATGGCGGCTCCTGCATCGCCAGTCCTGGCAGCTACTCCTGCGCCTGCCCTGCAAGCCATACAGGGTCCCACTGCCAAACCATTACTGACCACTGTGAATCTGGTGAGTGCCCACCATGTCCTGGAGATGAACCAGAGGGGATTAAACTGGACAGGGTATCTGTGGCATACTTGTTGAAAGTTAATTAGATGGGCCAGGCACAGTAGCCCAGGCCTGTAATCCTAGCTACTCAGGAGGTTGAGATCTGAGGATCATGGTTTAAAGTCAGCCCTGGCAGAAAAATCCATGAGACTCTTATCTCTAACCACAAAAAGCCAGAAGTAGAGCTGTCTGTGGCTCAAGTGGGTAGAGCGCTAACCCTGAGCACAAAAGCTCAGGGACAGTGCCCAGGCCCGAGTTCAAGCCTCAGGACCAGAAGAAAAAAAAAAAAAAGGGGGATGGTAATGAGGTGGTGTTTTGATGGGGGATGTGAATCCTGCTTGTGGTGTAACTGAGGTCACAGGCCAGGTTACAGGCAAGGAACCCAAACCCTCACAGCCTCCTCTCTCCAGCCCCGTGCCTCAATGGGGGTACCTGTGTGAACAGGCCTGGCGCCCCCTCCTGCCTCTGTGCCACGGGCTTTCAGGGCCCACGCTGTGAGGAAAAGATCTACCCCAGCTGTGCAGACAGGTGAGCCGGGCACCAAGACCCCTGGAGGAAAGGTGGGAGCCCTCAGCTTTCCCACATTTCTTCTCCACTTGACCTCCCACTCCACACCCTCTGTCCTGCTTCCCCTCCTGACCTGTCACCCCAAGACATCGCCTACTCCCCTGCCCTTTATTTCCCAGACCATCTTTCTACTGTGCCCTGTCTCTATCTTGTCCAGCCCATGTAGGAACAGGGCAACCTGCCAAGATGGTCCTCAGGGTCCCCGCTGCCTCTGTCCCCCTGGCTACACAGGAGAGAGCTGCCAGGTGAGGTGCAATGAGCCCAATGTGCCAAGAAGGGAGGAGGTAACAAGGTTAGCGATGAAACGTGCAGCAGGGCTGGGAAGGTGGCTCAGAGGTAGAGTGCTTGCCTTGCATGCTCGAGGCCCTGGGTTCGATTCCTCAGCACCACATAAGCAAAAAGAAAACAGCTGGAAGTGGCGCTGTGGCTCAAGTGGTAGAGCACTAGCCTTGAGCTGAAGAGCTGAGGGACAGCGCCCAGGCCCAGAGTTCAGGCCCCACGACCGGACCCCCAAAAAAAAAAAAAAGAAAGAAAGAAACGTGCACCAAGGAAGTGTGGAGAAAATGTCCACATGAAAAGAGATAAGGAGGTCTAGGAGTTGGGGGGTCTCACTTGAGATTTGTTTGGAAAGAAGGAATGAAGAAGTGAATGGGTGAGGCTGTTCTTGGAATGTGGGAATAAAAAGAAAAGGGGGAGGGGGCACCTGTTCCAGTCTATTCATGAGCAAGAGGATTGGCAGAAGTCCATCTCGAGGCCTAGGAAGCTAATTTTCTATTTCATGCTCCCTCCCAACGCTCAGACTCTAATGGACTTATGTGCCCAGAAGCCCTGTCCAAACAACGGCCGCTGCCTGCAGAACGGGCCCTCCTTCCAGTGCCTGTGCCTCCAGGGGTGGACCGGGCCCCTCTGTAATTTCCCACTGTCTTCCTGCCAGAAGGCTGCAATGAACCAAGGTACCAGCTTCGGCACTGACCAGAGAACAGAGAGAGAAAACAGAGAGCCCTTCTCTCCCCATCTCTCAGCACAGCCAAACAGCCTGTGACCAAAACCGCCACCTGAGACCAGAACAGCACACTGCAATTTACTCATTCTACAATTCACTACCCACCGGAGCCTCACACAACTCCATTTCTAATACCACATTCAACACAATTCAAGCTACACCAACTACTCCAGTTAACAGGATTCCAGCTTCACACAACCACCAAGAATGTAATTCATTTCAGAAGTTGAAACTCAGCCAGTGTGGACAGTCAATAAATTTCATCAGACCCTCTTCTAAGGTTATACCAACCCCCTTGTAGAAAAATGCCTCCTTAACTGGATGCTAGTGGCTCACACCTGTAATCCTAGCTACTCAGGAGGCCGAGATCCAAGGGTCGCAGTTCAAAGCCAGGCCCTTATCTCCAATTAACCACCAAAAAGTCAGACGTGGAGCTGTGGCTTAAGTTGTAGAGTGCTAGCTGTGAGCAAAAAAAAAGCTCTGGGACAGCATCTAAGCTGAGTTCAAACCCCAGGACTGGTGCACGCATGCGTACACACACTCACGCGCGCACACACTTTATTCAAATAGTTTGAAATAATAAGAGCTCAGGAAAGACACTACTGTGGGCTTAGGGGATGATGTCTGTGACACAGCATGAGAGGACAACAGAATAATCAGAATAGATGAGAAACTTAGGGACAGTAGTAAAACCACATGCCCCCAACTTGACATTTCCCTTGAGGTCTTTCTTGCTAAAGACCTATTTAAAGACAAGTCAACAGTCACTTACAACACTCTAACAGGCTTAAGAAGAGTTATTGCTCTCACATTCTAGTAGGAAAGGTGGAAGGGAGAACCTGAAGTTTAAACCTCTTCTGGGTCAGGAGTTATTCATGCCTCAGGCTTCAGAGCATACTACTTAGCAACGTTAGTGGCTTCCCATTTATCTACCCCACATTTAGCTTCATCTCTTCTTGTTTGGCTCTCTCCTCAGGCATAGAGGTCTCTGCCCTGTGCCAGAACGGAGGCCTCTGCATGGACAAAGGCCCCTCCTATTTCTGCCACTGCCCTCCAGGGTTCCAAGGCAGGTTATGCCAGGACCATGTGAACCCCTGTGAATCCCAGCCCTGCCAATATGGGGCTACCTGCGTGGCACAGCCTGATGGGTATCTTTGCCAGGTAAGAGATTTAGAGGAGACAGAAGATAAGGGTAGGCTGGAGATGACACATGCCAGTGATAATGAATGAGAACGCAATGTACCCAATTTTTCTCACCTTCTTTTACCCCATGCATCCAACCAATCATCAGGCCAAGCTATTCTGCCTCCCAAATATTTCTCAAATCCTGTCCTTTCTCTTCACCTAGTTCCCACTGCTTTAGTCCAGGCTTTTGTTATATTCCACCTGGATACTGCCATCAACCTCCTCACCATCATCCCCTTATACTTGTATTGTTTAGTTTTGCTTTGTTTTCTGTTTTGCCAATCCTGTCTGGATGCAATTCCTGAGCTTTTGTGCTCAAGGTTAGTGCTCTACCATTTGAGCCACAGCTCCACTTCCTTTTTTTGCATGCTCACCTGTGTGTGTGTGTGTGTGTGTGTGTGTGCATGTGTGTGTGAGTGTGTATGGTAATTGGAGATGAGTCTCACTGATTTTCCTGCTCAAGCTGGCTTTGTGAAGTAGGATCCTCAGGTCTCAGCCTCCTGAGTAGCTAGGACTAGATTAGTTTTCAACCTATTACCAGAGTACTGTACTAAGAACTAGGAGCTGACTCTTGTCACTCTCATGATTAACACCTACACTGACTTCAACCTTCTCTGAATAAAGCCCCAGACACTGCATTTAACTCGTCCTAGCCCACCTCCCAGGTCTTATCTGTCCTTATCTCCACTGTTCTACATCCTCCCTGATCTATCAACATAAAATTACCCTAGCTTTCTTACTCAGCCATTCTGATTCTAATCTCTCAGGCTTTTTCCTTTGCTATTGCCTCTTCTAGAATGTATTTTCCCACCCTACTCTACTTGATGGTGTTCTGGGAGCACCCTAATGTCTCTCTAGCCTGGGAAAAGGCCTCTGCTTGGCAATCTAGGTTATGATGCCCGATTCCTGAGCCAGGACCATGGCTTTTAATCAAAGACATACTTCACTTTTTAACGCTTACGATGAACTTTTTTTTTTTCAGTCGTGGGGCCTGAACTCAGGGCCTGGGCACTGTCCCTCAGCTCTTCAGCTCAAGGCTAACACTCTACCACTTGACCCACAGCACCATTCCTGGCTTTTTCTGCTTATGTGGTGCTGAGGAATCGAACCCAGGGCCTCATGCATGCGAGGCAAGTACTCTACCATTGAGCCACCTTCCCAGCCCTACTAGGAACTTTTTGTCTGAGACAAAGTCTCATTATGTAGCTAGATTCAAACTCAAGATCCCCCTGCCTCCATCTCACAAATGCTGGGACTACAGCGTAATATATGCCTTCCCATGCATATTTTCAAATATACAAAAGCAGTGTACTGATGGGTAGTGGACTTGTGTGTAATCATTACTTAGCTTCACACCATCTTTAAACTCTTTTTTTTTTTTTTTGTCGGTCGTGGGGCTTGAACTCTGGGCCTGGGTGCTGTCCCTCAGCTCTTCAGCTCAAGGCGAGCGCTCTACCACTTGAGCTACAGCACCACTTCCAGTTTTTTTCTGGTGGTTTATTGGAGATAGGAGTCTCATGGTCTCTCCTGCCCGGGCTGGTTTTGAACCTCAATCCTCAGATCTCAGCCTCCTGAGTAGCTAGGATTACAGGCGTGAGCCACCAGCGCCCAGCTATTTTTTTTAACTCTTTTTTTTTTTCTTCACACCATCTTTAATGAAACACTCTTTCCTCCAGTTTTCCAAAACACTCCTTCACTCATTCCTACCAGCTTCCTGGGCCACTCTTCAGATTCTTTGTAAATCTTTTTTTCTCTGAGTCTTCAAGGCTTTCCTGTATACTACTCTTGCAATCTCTCCTCCCTCTTGCAAGCACCTGGCACATGCTACAGATCCTTTCAGTGATCTTTTCACCAGCAGAGTGGCTGTCCCAGCACTCAAAAGGAAGAGAGGAAATCCTTATGAGTTTGAGGCCAGCCTAGGCTATATAGTGAGACCTTGTCAAAAACCAGACAAAACAAGCCAGGAACCAGTGACTCACGCCTGTAATCCTAGCTACTCAGGAGGCTGAGAGCTGAGAGAATCGCAGTTCAAAGCCAGCCCAGGCAGGAAAGTAGTCCGTGAGACTCTTCTCTCCAATTCACCACTGGAAAACTGGAAGTAGCACTGTGGCTCAACTGGTAGAGCACTCACCTTGAGCTGAAGAGCTCAGGGATAGCGCCCAGGCTGAGAGTTAAAGCCCCATGACTGACCAAAAAAACAACACAGAGACTAGAGATCTGGCTTATGGTAGAATATATCATCTTTCTGGGATTCAATTTCCTTATCTGTCAAGTGAGGGTCAAAAGAAATAATCCATATAAAGTGTCAGGAAGTAAGTTTTTTTTCTCCATTAAGGTTACATGTCTAAATCATGCAATACATGTTAGCCATCTCCCTGTTGTGGTTGACATCAATGATCAAAACATCCTCAAACAGTGCCTGACACAAAATGGGCATTCAGTAGATGCTTATGATTTATAAAGTATGAGTCTGGATGGTGTGTTAGGAGGTTTTACCAAAAATGGGACTATGTTTAGTGGTAATGTGTTGCAGTCATCATTTGGGACTGGGGATGATTAAGCCATGTAGTATGTGTTGAGCCATAAAGATTGAGCTGCCTGTGACAGTAATGGGTGGTGAGCTGGGCAACGTTGTTGAGCTGGAAGGTGGAGCCTGAGCAGAACATCTTGAGCTCGGCTTACCCACTGCTCTTTACCTGACATTGTCTGCCTTCAGTGTGCCCCAGGCTACAGTGGACAGAATTGCTCAAGCGAACCCGATGCTTGTCTCTCACAACCTTGTCACAACCATGGAACCTGCACTCCTAAGCCTGGAGGGTTCCACTGTGCCTGCCCTCCGGGCTTCGTGGGGCTGCGCTGTGAGGGAGATGTGGATGAGTGTCTAGACCAGCCCTGCCACCCCACAGGAACTGCAGCCTGCCACTCACTGGCCAACGCCTTCTACTGCCAGTGTCTGCCTGGATACACAGGTGAGACCTACCGTTGGGGCACAAACCTCTCTGGGGAGACCCAAACAATCCCTGCCTGTAGAATAGCCCAGTGATCTTGTCCGTGCCACACTCCAGAGAAGACACCCCAGGATCCCTTTCACCAGCACATCTAGCTGGCCCTTACTCCCAGGACTGAGTCAGGAGAAAGGCAGTGACTGAAGCCAGGTGTTTAATCTCACTCCTACCACAGGCCAGTGGTGCGAGGTGGAGACAGACCCCTGCCAGAGCCAACCCTGCTCCCATGGAGGGGCCTGTGAGGCTACACCAGGCCCACCCCCAGGTTTTACCTGCCACTGCCCCAAGGTAAGTGGCCACAAAGCTGGCTTCTCTTTTGGGGAACCATGAACATTGCCTAAGGGGAGATCAGAAGTCCCCCCAAGGCCAAGCTAGGGGGACTTGAATAAGCTAAGTATGGAGATGGATATAGATGTGGATGTCAACATGTATGAACTTGGATCAATCGTAAGCCTTGAGTTATGATATATTCACGTGTATCACATGCTCATGATGCATTGGTTTGTGTCCAGCCCTCCTTTATTATAATAGCATAATACTCATGAGCCTAACCCAAGAATTGTACTAATGACTCATGTCTACTTATATCCTTCTCCTTTCTGTTCTCTCGGGAAAGGAAGAGGAAGGCATAAAACCCTCTAAGGAGTAACACTACAATAGAGTTGAGCTGTATTAGCTGTTGAGTCTTCCAAGACTCACATTCTGAAACTAGAGTTCACCCCCAGGATGCTATGCAGGGCTGTGATTCATGCATTTCCATCCAAATGTAGTATACCATTGTATAAAATTACCATAGCACATGGTTTCAACATCCATAATACTCATTCAGTGCTCTCTGAAGACCCTTTGGATAGGAGCATCTAGGCCTCACTGGGCTATGATAACCCCGGAGCTCACTTGAGGGAAGTAGGAAGAATGACCAAAAGTCCTCTCCCATTCTTTGTTGTCCTTCCCATCACAGGGTTTTGAAGGTCCCACCTGCAGTCACCGAGCCCCTTCCTGCGGGACCCACCATTGCCATCATGGAGGCCTGTGTCTCCCCTCCCCTAAGCTGGGCTTACCACCCTTCTGTGCCTGTCTTAGTGGCTTTGGGGATCCTGACTGCCTGACCCCACCAGCTCCTCAAGGTTGTGGCCCTCCCTCTCCTTGTCTACACAATGGCAGCTGCTCAGAGACCCCTGGGCTGGGGCAGCCAGGCTTTCGATGCTCCTGCCCTCCCGACTCTCCAGGGCCCCGCTGTCAGAGGTCTGGAGCGGAGGAGTGTGAAGGGAGAGGCGGCGATGGGGCCTGCGACCCCGGCTGCAGTGGCCCAGGAGGAAATTGGGATGGAGGGGATTGCTCCCTGGGGGTCCCAGACCCCTGGAAAGGCTGTCCCCCCAACTCCCAATGCTGGCTTCTCTTCCGGGATGGGCAATGCCACCCACAGTGTGACTCTGAGGAGTGTCTGTTTGACGGCTATGACTGTGAGAACCCTCCAACCTGCATGTGAGCCTGAAACCCACTGGGGCCAGGGAGGGGAGGGGGGTGTGAGGAGGGTGTGAGGGATGGAAGAGGGAGGATACAAATGTCTACACTACCGGGTGGCCACAGCCTCACGCTCCAGGAAGTTTGCACACTAATACCCATTGCTAAGTAGGGATAACTTAGGTTGGACTCAGGAATCCATCCTAGAGAAATGGAATGACATTGATATTTTATATGGGGCCACAGCTTCAATCTGGGGTCCTCCTTAAGCATTCTTGGGGCTCAGTCCTCAAGCCTGCCTCCCTAAGCCCTGTTGCTATGGACTATCTCCCCTAGTAACCGATGTCCCTGAGGGAAAAAGGCCTTGAACTCCCCTTTCATAGGGAGTAAAGCTTGGGAAATTAGGGACAGAAGCATCCTGGGAAACAAACATCAGGGTGTCTGAAAACCATCCCAAGACTGCACAGCTATCCCAACTTAGCAACCAAGGCCCTAGAAGCCATGCAATCTGGGAATTCTCTCTGGGGTGAGGAGGGGAGCCGGATTGAAAGAGTTCCCTCCTCTCTTAACTCCACAGTCCAGCCTATGACCAGTACTGCCAAGATCACTTCCACAATGGGCACTGTGAGAAAGGCTGCAACACTGCCGAATGTGGCTGGGATGGGGGTGACTGCAGGCCTGAAGATGGGGACTCAAAGTGGGGACCCTCCTTGGCCCTACTGGTGGTGCTCAGCCCTTCAGCACTGGACCAGCAGCTGCTTACCCTGGCCCGGGTGCTCGCTCTGACTCTAAGGGTAGGACTCTGGGTAAGAAAGGACGGTGAAGGCAGGGACATGGTCTTCCCCTATCCTGGGGCCCGGGCTGAAGAGGAGCTAGGAAGAACTCGGAACTCTTCTCATCAGGAGAAAGCAGCCCCTCCTTTGGGCAAGGAGACAGACTCTGATGGCACTGGGTAAGAAATGGAAGAGAGCCAGATGCTGGGGTTTGGAGTTTTTGTTTTGTTTCGTTTTGTTATTGGTCATGGGGCCTGAACTCTAGGGCTGGGTGCTAACCCTCAACTCTTCAGCTTAAGACTAGCGCTCTACCACTTGAGCCACAGCACCACTTCTGGTTTTCTGGTGGTTTTTTGGAGATAAGAGTCTCAAGGACTTTCCTGCCCGGGCTGGCTCCATGATCCTCAGATCTCAGCCTCTTGAGCAGCTAGGATTACAGGTGTGAGTCACCAGTGCCCGGTTGGGGTTTTTTTTTGTTTTTGGTTTTTATTACTTTCTTTTTTTGTGTGTGTGGAGGGAAGGAGGCTAGGGCCTTAAAAAGAAGTCTTTACTTCCTCACAGGTTTGTGGTGGTGCTGGGTGTGGATCTGTCCAACTGTGGCCCTGACCACCCCGCCTCCTCATGTCCCTGGGACTCTCAGCTGCTGCTTCGCTTCCTGGCTGCAATGGCCGCAGTGGGGGCCCTGGAGCCCCTGCTACCTGGACCCCTGCTGGCTGCTCACCCACAAGCAGGCATTGGTAGGTGATCCTGCCACTTCATCTGGCCCTCGCTCACTTCCCAGCATGACATCCTCATAGATCTCAGAGAGCAAATGAAACAGGACGGCTGGATCGCAAATGTCCTTTGTGGGGACTGTCTCTCCTTCAATGCCTCTTTCTCTTGATTGGATTCCCCTCAAGTACTGTACGCTAACCTTTTTACACAGCCCTCCAAAAAAGCTTGAGTTCTAGCTTTTCTTCTTTGCAGAAGAAGGATATTGTCATCCCTGAACAGTACACAGGACATAAAAGGAAAACTTGTCGTACTGTGCTTTGTGTGTACTTTGCACTAAGCATTTTGCCATTAACTCATTTAATACCGTGAGAACAGTGTTGTTATTCCCACTTCAAAGATGAGGAAACTGGCAAAGAGGTCATTACATTCACCCCAAAAGCCACCCAGCTGGAGCCAGTCTTATCCAAACAATGGCCTCTATGGGCTGGGAAGTTGGCTCAGTGGTAGAGCGCTTGCCTTGCATGACTGAGGCCCTGGGTTCAATTCCTCAGCACCACATAAGCAAAAAGAAAAAAGCCGGAAGTGGCGCTGTAGCTCCAGTGGTAGAGCACTAGCCTTGAGCTGAAGAGCTGAGGGCCAGTGCCCAGGCCCAGAGTTCAGGCCCCATGACCAGACCAAAAAAAAAAAAAAGAGTAATTCCAAAAAATGGCCTCTGTGACTGTGTTTCTCCCATCAGTGCCCCCTGCTAATCAGCTTCCGTGGCCTGTGCTATGCTCACCAGTGGCCGGAGTGCTTCTACTGGCCCTTGGGGCTCTCCTAGTCCTCCAGCTCATCCGGCGTCGACGTCGGGAGCATGGGGCTCTCTGGTTGCCTCCTGGTTTCACTAGGAGGCCCCAGACTCAGCGAACTCCACGCCGCCGCCGGCCTCCACTAGGGGAGGACAGCATTGGCCTTAAGTGAGTAAAGAGGGCCCTGGGCTCAGGGAGGGGAGTTTTTCCTGTAAAGATATTCAAGACCAGAAGCAAAGCTGTGGCTCATGCATGCAATCCTAGCTACTCAGGAGGCTGTGATCTAAGGATCGCAGTTCAAAGTAGGAAAGTCTGTGAAGTTCTTATCTTCAGTTTACTATGGAAATGGAGTGTGGCTCAAGCAGTAGAGCACCAGACTTGAGTGAAAAAGCTGAGGGACAGTACCCAGGCCCTGAGATCAAAGCCCAGTACTGGCACACAAGCACACGCGCGCACGTGCACACACACACACACACACACACACACACACGATGCTATTGCAGAAGTTAAAGATGAGGAATGGGGAATGGAGAGGGACAGGCCTGGTCCTAATCCTAACCTATATAACTAATCTCTACCCACTCACCTCCTTCCAGGACGCTGAAACCAGAGGCAGAAGTGGATGAAGATGGAGTAGTGATGTGTTCAGTCCCTGAGGAGGGAGAAGAGGTGGGCCAGGTGAAAGGTCTGGGGCAAGAATGATGTGGAAGGGAAGGAGGGGCTGAAAGGACAAGCAATGGCCTTCACAGCTCTTTGCTCTTGCCCCAAGGTTGAAGAAATGGTCTCCCCTCCCAAGTGCCAGCTCTGGCCACTGAACGGTGGCTGTGGAGAGATCCCTCAGATAGCCATGCTGACACCTCCTCAGGAGTCTGAGATGGAAGCCTCAGATGTGGATACCTGTAGCCCTGGTATGTAAGAAAACCATAACAAAGGAAAATTTTAAAAAAGCCTCCCTTCCACCCTTTCAGAAGCAGAAACTTGTTTTTGTTTTAGTATCAGAACCAAAAGTATTGGGAATGTGGCTTAGTGGTAGAGTGCTTGCCTATCATGCATGAAGCCCTGGGTTTGATTCCTCAGTACATTAAAAAAAAAAACTAAAAGAACTAATGTTGTAGTACCTCAGAATAGTAATTCTTTTTTTGGGGGGGGGCTTGTCATGGGGTCTGAACTCTGGGCCTGGGTGCTGTCCCTTAGCTCTTCAGCTCCTCTACCATTTGAGCCACAGAGCCATTTCCAGCTTCTTTCTGCTTATGTGGTGCTGAGGAATTGAACCCAGAGCCTCATGCATTCAAGGCAAGCACTCTACCACTAAGCCACCTTCCCAGCCCAAGAATAGTAATTCTTAAAGTATGGTGCTCAGACAGATCAGCATCATCTGGGAACTTGAAGGAATGCAAATTCTTGAGCTCCACTATAGAGCTATCCATTTAGAAACGTGAGCGATCTGTTTTAATAAGTACTCCAGGTGAGTGTGATTTAGACCCAAGTTTGAGAAGCCAGGCCCTAGAATGTTAACAGAATTAAGGCTTTCTTGAAACTCCCTTTACTGATGAGGAAACAAGCTCATATAAAATCGGGAAAAAATCACTTATGACACATAATCAAGAGCCAGAGCTTGCCATGAATCGTGTAGTACATACCTGTTAATATCACCCTTAAGAGATGGAGGCTGGCCAGACACTGGTAGCTCACGCCTGTAATCCTAGCTACTCAGGAGGCTGAGCTCTGAGGATTGTGATTGGAAGCCAGCCTGGGCAGAAAGTCCCTAAGACACTTATGTCTAATTAACCAGCAGAGACATGAAAGTGTAGCTGTAGCTCAAATGGCAAAGTGCTAGTGTTGAGCAAGGAATAAGTGCCCTAGCCCTTAGTTCAAGCCCCAGTACTGGCATGCCCACACACACACACACACACACACACACACACAAGGGGGGGGAGGTAGAAGCAAGAGGGTGCTGAGTTAACAGTTTACAAAGTATATTTACATAATAAGTTCTAGGCCATAATGAGACTCTTGTCTCATACACCACAAAGAGACACCTCCACTGTGATTCTTCCTGAGCCTCCATGTGCTCCTCTCTTGACTTTTCACCCACAGATGGAGTGACACCTCTGATGTCAGCAGTCTGCTGTGGGGGAGTGGAGTCCAGAACCATCCAGGGGCCATGGTTGGGAAGTTCTGAGCCCTGGGAACCTTTGCTGGATAAAGGGGCCTGTCCCCAGGTTAACACCGTGGGCACTGGAGAGACCCCTCTGCATTTGGCTGCCCGATTCGACCGGCCAACTGCTGCCCGCCGCCTTCTTGAAGCTGGAGCCAACCCAAACCAGCAAGATCGGTCAGGGCGCACCCCACTTCACACTGCTGTGGCTGCTGATGCTCAGGAGGTTTGCCAGGTTAGCACACCCTGGAGTCCCTAAAAGGGACTAAAAGGTATGCTTACAGGTACAACTGGGTAGAAGTATCCCCCAGGGTTTAACAGAGAGAGCATGTGAAATTACGACCTGAAGAGAGACGATGGAAAGGTTACAGGTCTTTTCTGTATCCCCAGCTCCTACTGGGCAGCCGACAGACCGCGGTGGATGCACGCACAGAGGACGGGACCACACCCTTGATGCTGGCTGCCAGGCTGGCTGTGGAGGACCTAGTTGAAGAACTGATTGCAGCTGGAGCAAATGTGGGGGCCGCCGATAAATGGGGTATGGAAGGAGGGAAGAGAAATTAAGCAGATGGAGCATGAGATGAGGTGCACAATACAGGGAGGGAGACGCGTAATGGGAGGCTGAGACATTTCCCCCACCCCGCTGATATGGGAAGTCTGCTGTGCAGTGGTAGTAAGAACGGCGTTAGTCTCCCCCTCCCCCCCCCCCCCCCACCATCCCCGACGAACACAGGGTCTCCCGGTCCCACCGACCCAGAACAATGCCCATTGTCCCGCCCGCGCGCCGGTGACGTCACCAGGAGAATGCTTCCGGCCTCCTGGCGGTCGCCAGGGCAACGCTTCCCGCCTTTGAGGAACCTGGGTAGCCTTTCCTCTCCCCTCCCCTAGGATAATTCGTGGGAAAACGAAGTTAGGGAGTTTGGCCCCTAGCCGCCAGGTAATAACTTCCCACATTTGTCCCCTTAGGAAAGACTGCACTACACTGGGCCGCAGCTGTGAACAACGACCGAGCCGCTCGCTCCCTTCTCCAGGCTGGAGCCGACAAAGACGCTCAAGATGGCAGGGTTAGACTGGGTAGCAGCCTCCCCACAAAAAAGAAAGAAAAGAAAAGAAGCCGGGTGCCGGTGGCTCACGCTTGTAATCCTAGCTACTCAGGAGGTTGAAATCTGAGGATCGCGGTTCGAAGCCAGCCCGGGCAGGAAAGTCCGTGAGACTCTTTATCTCCAATAAACTACTCAGGAAACGCTGGAGGTAGCGCTGTGGCTCAAAGTGGTAGCGCGCTAGTCCTGAGCACAAAGAGGCTCAGGTACAGCGCCCAGGCCCTGAGTTCAAGTCCCAGTGCCAGCAAAAAAAGAAAAAGGAAAAAGGAAAGGAAATCGGCAGCGGGCCAGACAGAAAGCCCGGGAATGGCACAAACTCTGGAGGGGCGGGTCGGCAGCCCAGGAGGTGGAGTCGGAGGGGGACGCGTCCTTGCCTGACCCCACCCCCTGGCTGTTTCCTCCCCGCAGGAGCAGACGCCGCTGTTTCTAGCGGCCCGGGAAGGAGCGGTAGAGGTGGCTCAGCTGCTGCTGGGACTCGGGGCGGCCCGAGGCTTGCGGGATCAAGCTGGACTAGCGCCCGCGGACATCGCCCGCCAGCGAAACCACTGGGATCTGCTGACCCTGCTAGGAGGGGCGGGGCCACCCGCGGCACGTCACACTGTGTCGCCGGACCGCGAGACTGGGGCCTTCTCGCGCGCAAGGACTGCGTCAGGAAGCGTACCTCCGCACGGAGGCGGGGCTCCGCCGCGTTGCCGGACACTGTCGGCCGGGGCACGCCCCCGATTGGGCGGGGCTTGTCTGCAAGCTCGCAGTCTGTCTGGAGACTTGGCCGCGCGCGGAAGCAGGGCCTATCCGCACAGCCGGAGCCCTTCGGGAGGAGGTGCCGGAGAAGGCCCGCCCCCACGCGGCCGGAGGGTTTCCGCAGGCCTCCGTGGGCCCAGGCCCAACCCCTCAATAGTGCGAGGAAGGCCCGCGTGCGTGGCTGGACGCCGAAGCAAGGCCTCAGTGGATGGCTGGCCCCGTGATTGGGTGGCCCTGGGAGCCTGCCCCGCCTCCAGCACTTCGATCCCACCTCCTTGTCTTACTCCATCCCCAGAGCGAGGGTCCCCTCAAGTTGTTTGGGGTCTTCCCGCTCATGGAGGAGCCTCCTTAAACCTAGGAGAAGGTTAAAATTAGGAGTCGACTTGGAGAGGAGGCGTTGGAAAAATTATTGCCCATTAAATAACTGGCATTCGAAAGAGCTCCAGACTTTAGGATCAGCCTCAAAAAGAAGGGGCTGCAAATTGAATTTCCCTCCCCGAATTAGTGCATGCCTCTCGAAGCAAGCATTATCTTCTACCTGGAAGAAGTTACAGTGCCGAAAAGAGGGTGCTGGGATGAGACAGGTCCACTTCCTCTCCTTGAAAATTAAGAGCGAGAGGCTTCCTTAAAACTGGAACCCAGAGCTGTGGACCGAGGAGATGTAAGATGTACTTGTGTATGGTTCCCAAAGAGAACCTCTATCATCCATTGCTTACACTGGCCCACAAAGCTGACGTATTTATGGAGAACCTACCAAGTGCCAAGCACTGTGTAGATGCTGAAAGATGGACAGTGGCCACTCCAGCTAAGGACTCCGTGCTCTCATCCAAAGAAACTGCTGCATGGATGAAGCACCATTCTTCTGGCCATGGCTATCTCTAAGAACCTCAAACCTGTTTCCAATAATAAACTGATTTTTTTTTTAATTGAGTTGGGGAGTGGAATGGGAAACAAAACATGAAAGTGACCACATACAGATCTTAGAGGTCTTGACTGACTTGGATAAGGGCTTTTCGTTTTAAGTAGATTTGGAGGGCTCATGTTTATCATCAGAAAGCAGGGAGAATACACAAATACATATGGTCATGCAGACCATGTCCCTTGTCTAGGGGTATTTAGTTACAGTCAAGGGATTCCTAAGGCTTTAAGCAGAAGATGGAGAGAGTATCTTAAGTTATCCATGTTAGGTTTTTAAAAAGAGGTGGCCGAGTAAGAACTGCACCACGCACGTGGTATTCAGGTAAGGGGTTTATTCAGTAGACCTGCTGGGACCAGGCAAGGTTGGCACTCCACGCGGCTGGCAAAGGAAAAGAAAAGGGCGGTCTGGCCGCGGTTTAGGCCTTATATAGGGTAGGGGGTGCGGAAGGGTGTGTCCAGGTAAAGGGAAGTGGGGTCAGGTGGGAGAAAGGTGTGGCCACATCAGGTTAAGATGTGACCTCAGCGGATGCGGATGTGACCTCTTCCAGGTGTCCCAGTTGCCTAGGTAACACAGGTACTGGGCGAGGTCTGTTCGCCGTCCAGGAATGGACCTTACAATCCACTTTTCAGCTGGACACTTTTGCCTTGTTATTAAGCCTGAGATGTGGAGGCATTCTGAAAGTTACTACCATTTATTGATCGTCCCTATTTGTCAAGTGCTTTATTACAATTAATCTTCACACCAACTATGAGGTAGGTGTTATTTTTTAAAATCCCATTTTCTTCTCCCAAAAACCGAGGCATCAAGGTTTTATATGCCTAAGATATAAAGCGTTAAAGTAGAAAAATCAAATATCTACATCACATTTCACGCTCCAAAGCCATTTACCTGTAAATTCCTTTACATGACAGATAACCATTTAAAGACCCCCCCCCAAAATATCCATTATTCTAAATATTTACTATGTCTGACTCAGTGTAGGTACATAAGTGTATATTTGTGACACTCACTCCATGCTGGGTCTGAGTCCTGTTTCCCATGCTCCTCCCAGTCCAGTAAGTCAGAGGGAAGCTACAAAGGGCTAAATCCTACAACCTACAACCGGGGTCGGTCTTAGGTGAGGAAGGGACTTGGTTTGGGGGAGGGAGGATCCTGAAGAGTGAAACCACTTCCTGTGCAGCTAGTTCCTGTGTTGACAAAAAGAGTTGAAAGGGAGGCAGGGATGAAGGGAACAGATGCCGAAATTGGGGGGGGGGGGCTAAGAAAACTCTAGAGATGGGAAGGCTAGAGTCCTTCCCCACTAGGACCCACCACTACTCCTGCAGCTGCAAGATTATTTTTTCCCAGTCTCTCAGTTCCCCTGAGGCAGAGAGGTCAAACAAGCTGTTTGGGTGGGAAAAGAGAATGGAGGAAGTTGACAGAGATGGGCGGGGCCGTGGGGGGGGGCTGACCAGGAACCCAGCTTCCTGCTCAGTACCCAGGCATCCAGCCCCCAGCTCACCCCCACCCCTTCCAGCCCCCCACTCCTCTCAGGAACCCTAAGTTCTAACCCTCCTCTCAAATCCCAGCCACCCCTCCCCCCCCAGCTTCTCCCCACCAGGGGATGGAGGACAAGAGACCCCAGGAAGAACCTCAGGAAGAAGAGGCTGGTGAGCAGGTGAGCTGGGCACTGGGTTAGGGAGGTTGGTACTGAGAAAGGAAATGTGAGGACCTGAGGCAGAGACCTTGTGATGAGGGACATAGAGGACTTGAAAAGGCTTAGACACAATAAGCAGGAACAAAAACATTGAGGAAATGGGCCACTGCCTACCCCCACTCCCGCCTGACTGAAATGGACATCTCGGCAACAGGGACACCCGCAGGATGAAAAGAGGGGCTGGGCCACTCTGAATTCTACCACTCGGCCTTGGCGATCTGCTCCTCCATCCCCTCCTCTCCGAGGGACCCACCTTGCAGGTACTTCTACCCTGGGAAGCCCCGAATTTGTTGCTCACATCTTGACTCCATTACCAATGTCTGCTCCAGTGTCAACTACGCCCCCTCTGCTGTAACCCAGGCTGATCGAACCCCGATCACCCTGTCCACATCCACACTGCTCCTGTCTGCCAACTTCTGTAGGTTTCAGAGCCCTCCTTCCTCCTCTCCCCAGCCCTGGGCCCCCGCTCGGCCTCCCTGCTCTCTCTGCAGACAGAGCTTCTTCTGGACCTGGTGGCTGAGGCCCAGTCCCGCCGCTTAGAGGAGCAGAGAGCCAACTTCCACACTCCCCAGAGCCCCCCAAGCCTAGCTCCAGCCCCACCCCGGCCTCTTGAGGACAAAGAACAGCTCTATAGTACCATCCTCAGTCACCAGGTGAGACATCCCAAAAAGGCAAAACCCATGCCTCTTGGTCTTTCATATCTGTGCCCCATACAAGCCCTGATTCCTAACCCAGCACTCCAGGGCACCTTACCAATGCTTTCCTCTCCCTTCCTCCAGTGCCAGCGGATGGAAGCCCAGCGATCAGAGCCTCCCCTACCCCCAGGGGGACAGGAACTCCTGGAGTTGCTGCTGAGAGTTCAGGGTGGAGGTCGAATGGAGGAGCAAAGATCCAGACCCCCCACACACAGCTGCTGAGATTTGAGCCTGTATCAGCCCCTTTTTGCCTCTTAGGGCTCAAAAGCTGGGCTGCCCATTGCATGCCCTCAACCCTGCCTGGCAGGACTATCTAAGACTGAAGACCCAGCAGAAATTGCATTAGTCGTGACCCTCAGCACCTTCCCAGGGAGCTGGAGTGGGTGAAAGTGCTCAAACCCTAGGAATAGGTAAGGTAGGACAATCATTTAACTCCTTCCTCTAGACACTGGAGCTTAAAGGAAAGAAGAGGCCCCCAGTCAGGGGAGCTCTGGGAATGGCTGTGACTCTCTGATCCTGAGCTATCAGTTCCAGGCCAGGGTGTGAGGGCTCAGGCTCCTGGGAAGCAAAGGCTACCTACCCTCCTTCCCAGCAAGAAGAAATCGAGTAGGCAAAATAGAGAGTAGACACCGGGAAGAGAGATTTAAGACAAGCCCTGCCACCAGCACACACCACCAGCCCCAAGGCTGAGGGTCCTAGAGGTTTTGAATGGACCTTTAGCCCTTCCCACCCTTCCTCCCCAAAGCTGCTCTGATTCAGATTGTTTCGTATGTATGAATAAATATGTTTCCCCTCTGACTGAAGACTGGTATCTGGAGGGGGGGGGGAGGGCGGGGACAGAGGGGGGAGGGTAGAAAGGTGAGGCCAGAGGCCGCCTCGCTTCCCAATCTGGCCAGAGGCCAGCTCCCCTCCCTAGCTGGTTAATTACTGGCTCATTAAGCAGCGGCTGGAGACCTCCCTAATTATCTCCCCCCAGCCCCCCTTTCCCGGTTTTAATTAAGAAGAACAGGGAGGGGAGTCATTAGGACAAGAAATATGAACCGAGCTGTCAGTGAACGCAGGCATTCCTGCAGCTCAGAGTCCACATCACGACGATCCAGGACCCGGAACCCCGAGGCAGGACCCCCCCACCCCGGACGGCCCTGCCCCAGCCCCGGTCCCGGGACACCCGAGTCCAGCTCCCGGGCCTTCCCGTTTCTCCGCCTCCGGCCCCGCGCCCCACGCCCCGCTCCCCTCCTCCACCCGTCTCAGTTCCTCTGTTTCTGTGTCTCTCCCCGCCCCCGGCTCCTCCCTGTTCCTCCTCTCTCTGCCCTCCCCTTCCTCCCCGGCTCCCCTCCCCCCGCCTCCCTCCCTCGCTCCCCCTCCCCCTCCTCCCTCCTCCCTCTCGCACACACACCCCCGCTTGGGCCTCCTCTGTCTCTCCCTCTCTCTCCGGCTCCATTTTCTCCGCCGCCGGGGGCCGGGGTCTCCTGTGGGGGGCCCAGCCGGTACCTGAGGTCTCCCCCCAGTGCCGGGGTGAACCCCGGGGGAGCCGGGAGGGGAGGAGACGGGCGGGGGCTGGGGCGGAGGGAGCCGCGGCCCCGGCGAGTTTGGGGGGGGGGGACGTAACCGGGCGGGGGGAGGGGCGGAGCAGGGAGGGGGCCTCAGGGCCCCCCCCCAGCTATGGACGAGCGGCTGCTGGGGCCGCCCCCTCCAGGCGGAGGCCGGGGGGGCCTGGGATTGGTGGGTGGGGAGCCCGGGGGTCCTGGCGAACCTCCCGGTGGCGGAGACCCCGGTGGGGGTAACGGGGGGGTCCCGGGAGGCCGAGGGAAGCAAGACATCGGGGACATACTGCAGCAGATAATGACCATCACCGACCAGAGCCTGGACGAGGCCCAGGCCAAGTGAGTGCCCCCATCCCGGACCCCCACACAGACCCCCGCCCCCCATTCACAAGCTCTGAGTCTTCTGGGAGTAACCCCTCTCCCCTCCAGGTTTCTACAGCCCTGCTTTCGCCTCAGCTCGGGAAACCTCCACTTTAGTGCTCCCTCTCAAAAGCTCCCCCACCCTGAAACCTCCACCGAAGCCACCCCAGGTGGTCTCCCTCCCCTCCTCACCTCTTGCTGACCCCTACACTCCCGGCACCAGCCCCATCTTCAGAGCTTCCTTCTGGCTCCCAGACTTAGAAACTGTTCTTGGGCAATTCTGTCTGTCCCGGGCTCTCCACCCAGCCCAGCCCATTCTCTCCGGAGCTGGGGCCTCTGTTCCACCCCAGAGGTCCTAGCATTCCTCACTACCCCGGCCCAGGTCTTCAAGGTCCTCATATACCCCTTCCCCTTTCCTGTACTCAACTCTCTGCTTAGTCCAGCACCCCTAGCCCTCTGCCACCTCAAACTGACTCTTGTCCACCTCAACCTTCGTCTCTATTTTTCCTAAGCCTACTTAGTCACTCTCATTTCTCGAGTCACCCCTAAATCCCCCCTCAATACCTTTCCTGGACCCTATGCCTTCCAAAGCCCCCAGCCCACCCCATGGTGCCTATAAGCCTGCCCCCTGCACCTTGCTTGTATCTTCCCATTATGCGAGCTGAATCACACCCCAGCTCCATCACAAACCTGCTTTTTCACTCCACAGATGCCTCCTCTTCTGTTCCCAAGCTCCCCTCTTAGACCTTCCTAGGCCTCTGTTCCCCACCCTCTCCACACACACACACACACACACACATACACACACACACACACACGCTGCTTCTCATGAACTTTTCTCTTTCCCCACTCCCATTTCTCCCAAGGAAACACGCCCTAAACTGCCACCGAATGAAGCCTGCTCTCTTTAGTGTCCTGTGTGAAATCAAGGAGAAAACGGGTATGTGTTTTCCCTCTTTGATTCTTCAACTTCTAGGGACACAACTCTGTTCACTGTAGGGCTTAAGAGTTTGACAACATGGAGCCTTGAGGAAAGTGGGGGCCCAAGGAGATGGCTAAAAGGGAAAGGGGAATCAAACATTGGAAAACAAGGGTCTCTAAAAGCCACCAGGGGCTGGGAAGGTGGCTCAGTGGTAGAACGCTTGCCTTGCATGCCTGAGGCCCTGGGTTCGATTCCTCAGCACTACATAAGCAGAAAAGGCTGGAAGTGGCTCTGTGGTTCAAGTGGTAGAGCACTAGCCTTGAGCTGAAGAGCTGAGGGACAGCGCCCACACCCAGAGTTCAGGCCCCACAACAGACAAAAAAATAAGTTAAATTAAAAAAAAAAAAACACCAGGAAAACTGAGCTCTGGGTGAGGGGTCCTGGTTGGCTGGTGGGAGAGGGGAGGCTGGATGGAGTCTTAAGTCCACTTGCCTACATACATGCTAGGCCTGAGCATTCGAAGCTCCCAAGAAGAGGAACCGGTGGACCCACAACTGATGCGCTTGGACAACATGCTTCTGGCAGAGGGTGTGGCTGGGCCTGAGAAGGGTGGGGGCTCAGCAGCTGCGGCAGCAGCGGCTGCAGCCTCTGGGGGCGGCGTGTCCCCTGACAACTCCATCGAACACTCGGACTATCGCAGCAAGCTTGCGCAGATCCGCCACATCTACCACTCAGAGCTGGAGAAGTATGAGCAGGTGAGGAGAGGAGACCAGAGTAGGTGAAAGAAGAGGCCCTTTGGAGGGAATCTCAAGACCAAAGAGGTCCTCTTCTCCAGCCCACCTTCCCTCTTTTTCCCAATACAGGCATGCAACGAGTTCACAACCCATGTCATGAACCTGCTGCGGGAGCAGAGTCGCACGCGGCCTGTGGCCCCCAAAGAGATGGAGCGAATGGTGAGCATCATCCATCGGAAGTTCAGCGCCATCCAGATGCAGCTCAAGCAGAGCACCTGCGAGGCAGTTATGATCCTGCGTTCCCGCTTCCTGGATGCCAGGTGGGGTCCAGGGATCCAGATTAAACCAGTCTTCTTATTCCTCTCCAAGCCTCCAGGCTGTCAGGTTGTACAACATGGTACTCAGTGACAATGGTGTCCCCTGGAGTTACCCAACAGGACACCAACATTGTCTCCCTGCCACCTCCTTCCTTTGCAGACGAAAACGCCGTAACTTTAGCAAACAGGCCACTGAGGTCCTGAATGAATATTTCTACTCCCATCTGAGTAACCCATATCCTAGCGAGGAGGCTAAGGAGGAGCTCGCCAAGAAGTGTGGCATTACCGTCTCTCAGGTATTGTGAGGGTTTGGAGAGAAGGTGTTTGGGAACAGAAAGCTCTCAGATGCCATTCAGTGAGGGGCTTTCGTAACAAATTTTTCCACCTGACCCTCTCTACCCAACACCCTACAGGTTTCCAATTGGTTTGGCAACAAGCGGATTCGGTATAAGAAAAATATTGGAAAGTTCCAAGAGGAAGCAAACATCTATGCTGTCAAGACAGCTGTGTCAGTCGCCCAGGGGGGCCACAGCCGCACCAGCTCCCCAACACCCCCTTCTTCTGCAGGTGGAGCTCACTGCCACACTGGCTAGCTGTTATACACAGTTCCTGCTTTTGTTCCCATTTCCTGTCTAGGCAGGATCATAGCAGAGAGGACTTTTGGGGGTTAGGAGGTCCATGCTAAGATGGGTGATCGTGTCAGGGTCAGAGGTCACTCTAGTGAAATTCCTTTTGCCTTCCTCCCAGCGGGTATCTAGAAGTTCTAGAACAGCTTGCTTTTTCTGAGTGTGGGTATGTCTCCACTTGATTTGGTTTGGTTTGGTTTTATAAGATGGGGTCTCACTATGTGGTCCAGGTTGACCTAAGAACTCACTATGCAGTCGAGGCTGGTTTTGAACTCGGATCTTCCTATCTCAGCTTCTCAGTACTGGGATTTCCGGCATATACCACCATGCCCAGCTGGGAAGGTTGTTTCATTGGTGATTTGTGTATAATCCACATGCATCCTTGCAGAACTAGTTCACAGGGTTTTCTGCAACATGAGGATTGTGTCTATCTGCCAACTCAGGCTCCCTGGTACTCTCTCCTAATTCCTTCTCTGTTTCTCCAAGGCTCTGGCGGCTCTTTCAATCTCTCAGGATCCGGAGACATGTTTCTGGGGATGCCCGGGCTCAATGGAGATTCCTATTCTGCTTCCCAGGTTAGGTGCCCCATGGCTTCTTGAGTAGGTCTTTCCTCCTGGACTCCCTTTTCCCCCCTTAGGATAGAAGACTTTTTTTTTGAGTCATTTCCTCACCATCACACCTTCCTCTGTGGCCTGCAGGTGGAATCACTCCGACACTCGATGGGGCCAGGGGGCTACGGGGATAACCTAGGAGCGGGCCAGATGTACAGTCCTCGAGAAATGAGGGTGAGTGGATCCTCAAGCCCTGTGGTCTCCAGCTCTCATCAAGATAAGGCAACTTTTTCCCTAGTGCTATTTGTCCCCACAGGGTTTCCCAGGGCCCTACTCCTACTCTCTCTCTCTCTCCCTTTTTCTAGGCAAACGGCAGCTGGCAGGAAGCTGTGACCCCATCCTCGGTGACATCCCCAACAGAGGGACCAGGGAGTGTTCACTCCGACACCTCCAACTGATCTCACCCCTCAGGGTCACAGGGGTGGGGGCTCCCAGAAGGCGACTCTTGAAGAGGACCCAGGCATCCAGATGACAGACCCCAAACAGGAGAAGCACAAAACAGAGGGGCGAATGGGTCGTCCCTTCTCCAACCATAGACTCTCAGTGCTGGGGGTGCTGACTAACATGGCAGGGAGAATGGGGTCCTGAAGCTGGGGGGAGGATGGAGTCTGTCTCCCCCCTCCCATTTTTTCCTTTTTTTTTGATCTTTTTTTCCTTTATTCTCTTACACAGAAAAACGCACACACCTATTTCTCAGATCTTTTTTCCCCCCCACTCATTTTTTTCTCATGCGTGCACACACATGTATACACACATATGCAAATACAACTATTGTTTGTCTCTCTGGGCTCCCCCACTTTCCCTTCCCCGCCCCACTTACATGCTGTGGAATCTGGAGACGTCAGCCCTACCCAACCCAGAGATGCCAAAAATGGGGACTGGACTTCTGGACAGAGAACATGGGCCACGCCCCCCGTGTATCCCCTACCCCTTGGCCCCTCCAGACGGCTTTATTACCTCATACGCAGCTCATCTTAAACCAATAGAATCGCTCGGTGGACAAGAGTGTCTGACTCAGATATCTACCTCGGAGGGAGTTTCTGCTACTTTAGGAAATTGTTGACTGGGCTTTGGGGTTGAAGTTTTTTTGTTTGTTTGTTTTGTTTTTTAGAAAGGAAAAAAAAAAGAACAAACCCTGGGATCCATCTGTATTTTTTTTTAATTTAGTTTGGGGAAGTAGGGTTTGGTGGGGCTTTTTTGTTGTTTGTTTTTATAAATATATAAACATACTGAATTATTTTTTTATTTCTTGCTTTCCCATTGTAGAGGTGATAGCCAAAGGGGTTCTGGTAAGAGAAAAAGGATTAAACAGAACTAGTAGAGAGGCCCGCCTAGCTCTGGGCCTGCCCATCAGGAAGTGAATTTTGCAGGACACCAAGCCACCCACTCCTGAAGTCACTAAGATGTTCTTTGCTTGTATAGACAAGTTTCTGCTGCATTTGGTGTGGAAGAGCTTTACCTGCTGGCCTCCTATCCCCCCTCTTTCCACAACTCTTAGGCAAAGCTGGATTCAGTCATTTTGAAGAAATCAAAGATCCCACCTTCCCTGTATAATGTATCTTTTTTGGTTTTTAACTATTTACAGATTGGAGGAGAATGGGGAGTGGGTTCTTGCCAAATATGCTAAGTATGGGTCAGGTGCTTATATATGTATCTCCCTCAGTTTCTCCCAGGGGAGGGGGGAACAGAATCTTTTATCCTCAGCCAAAATCAAGGGAATGGGGAGAGGAGGGAGGTCACAAAACGTGTTGACGGTAAAAACATTCTCCCATCCTCAGCCCTGAACCCTTCTTTCTGATCCCCTCAAAGATCCTCAGGATTTAAAAGGACTGTCATAATGGGGAACCCATCCCCATCAAGGGTCCGAGCAGGATTGGGGGACAGATTGGGAGTGTGATGGGGGGGTGGGGGGTGGGGGGAGGCACGGGCCGGGGCAGGGGCAGTTCTCTCCTCACTTGTAAACTTGTAGTTTCACAGAAAAGAAAATGCAGTTTTAAATAAAGAAATTTCTTTTTTCCTGGGTTTAGTTTTTTTTTCATCTCCAAGGAATATAACACTTTTTTTTTTTTTTCCAAAAAGCCTCAAACAGCTTCCTTCTGCTTTGTCCTCCCAGCTTTGCCCTTTATTGCCAACTCCCTGTGTCCACCCCCGGGTACATCAGCCCATATCCTCTTAGCATCCTTCCCCAATCATGGTGGGGTTCCAGGCAGCCCTCAAAGTGAGATTGGTGGAACATGGCTGAAGACTTGGAATGAGACCCTAGAAAGTGTACTCCCCGCCCCCAGCAAAGTGGCTGTGCCCAGAGACTGGTAGCGCCCAAGGGTGGGGTGAGATTTCTTCTAGTACCTGAAGGACTCTTGTTCAGGAGGCATGAATTCCTAGCATTCCCTGTGCCTGACAAGACCAGGAAAGGGGGCAAGCCCCATGTAGGGAAGTAGCCACATTGGGGAAAGTGGCAGACAGAGCCAGAAGCCTGGGAAGGAAACAGGATGGCGGCAGGGACAGCGGCTGGAGCCTGGGTGCTGATCCTCGGTCTGTGGGGTGAGCCACTCCCCAGCCCCACTCATCTTCCCTGCAGAAAATAATACCTCCAGGACCCTTCTGCCCCCAAATCTGGAATTTCCTAGACCTGGGCACTACCTTTCAAGCTACCTCACTCACCCTGTCCTAATTTCTTTAGTTCTCATCTCCCCTCCAATTCCTCAACTGCCCAGTTGATCCATCTTCTTTCTCAGGGTCAGTAGTAGGTGGTCAAAACATCACAGCCCACATCGGGGAGCCACTGGTGCTGAACTGTAGAGGAGCACCCAGGAAACCACCCCAGCAGCTGGAATGGAAGCTGGTAAGGGCTCCCGTAACAGCGTCCCAAATTCGAAGCTGGACCTGTGATGGTCCCCACCACCATCCTGCCTGAGCCATCCTTTCCCAGAGGACCTGGAAATCTTATGCTTTTCTCCTTCATGTCTCTAGAACACAGGCCGGACAGAAGCTTGGAAGGTCCTCTCTCCCCAGGGAAGCCCCTGGGAAAGTGTGGCTCGAGTCCTTCCCAATGGCTCCCTCCTCCTTCCAGCTGTTGGGATCCAGGATGAGGGAACTTTCAGGTGCAGAGCAATGAGCAGGCGTGGGAAGGAGGCCAAGTCCAACTACCGGGTCCGAGTCTATGGTAAGGGTTCCAGAGCTTTAGCCAAGCCCCACCTCTCATCTAGGGAAAGGCTTTCACTCACCCCCACCCCAAGCCCTTGACTCCTAGGACCCCGTGTATGAAGGAGGACCTCTGACTCTTCTCACACCTGCTGTGTGAGGATCTCCAAAGATCTGGCCTTTAACTGAATTTTTCCCTCCATCAGAGATTCCTGGGAAGCCAGAAATTGTAGATCCTGCCTCTGAACTCACAGTCGGTGTCCCCACTAAGGTAGCGGATAGTGTGGGGGAAGGGGGAGTCATAAGTGGTCCTGTGAATGCAACTGTGTACCTGTATGGCATCTTACCTTTTTTTTTGCCAGTCCTGGGCTTGAACTCAGGGCCTGGGTACTATCCCTGAGCTTCCTTTGCTTAAGGCTAGCACTCTTAACACTTGAGTGACAGCGCCACTGCTGGCTTTTTCTGTTTCTGTGGTACTGAGGAATGGAACCCAGGGCTTCATGCATGCTAGGCAAGCACTCTACCACTAAGCCACATTCCCAGCCCAAGGCATCTTGCGTTTTTAAAGGATGTGCTCACCACTCTTACCCCAGGTGGGGACCTGTGTGTCTGAGGGAAGCTACCCTGCGGGGACTCTTAGCTGGCACTTGGATGGGAAACCCCTGATTCCTGATGGAAAAGGTGAGACCCAAGGTACCCCCCACTTTCCCCAGACCCCTGCCATTGCTGCTTCCTGATCTTGTTCCCATAACCACCTGAGTGTCTCATCTTGTCTTTCTCCTACCACAGGAGTCTTGGTGAAAGAAGAGACCAGAAGACACCCTGAGTCGGGGCTCTTTACACTCCAATCAGAGCTAATAGTGACCCTGGCCCAGGGAGATGCTGCTGGCCCCACCTTCTTCTGTAGCTTCAGCCCAGCTCTTCCTCGGCATCGAGCTTTGAACACAGCTCCCATCCAGCCCATTGTGAGAAGTGGAAGGATTCCAAGTTCAGGTGAACACACCTAGGAAATGTGCCCTTTGGGAAAGGAAGACTGAAGTCCACAGGTATAGCCCAGGGCCATTCCTAGGTGTATTGTGTTGATCACCCCCCTGCCCACCTCCAGAGTCTGTCCCACTGGAAGTCCAACTGTTGATCGAGCCAGAAGGTGGAGTAGTATCTCAGGGTGGGACGGTGACCCTCACCTGTGAAGCCTCTGCACAGCCCCCTTCTCAGATCCACTGGATAAAGGATGTGAGTACATGGAGGGTCTGGGAAGTGGGGGAGAACTGTGACTGCCACCTGGGAATGGAGGGAAAGGTGGGCAAGGAGCTAAGATGGAAGATAGGGGGTATCTGAGGCTGTGGAGACAAAACCAAAAGCATGGGACATGTGAATGGGAGTTTGATAATAGTTTCCTCTCCCCCTTTCCTTACCAGGGAATACCCCTGCCCCTGCCCCCCAGCCCTGTGCTTCTCATCCCTGAGGCAGGGCCTCAGGATGAAGGGGCCTACAGCTGTGTGGCCACCCATCCCAGTCAAGGGACTAAGGAAAGCCCTGCTGTCAACGTCATCATAGGTGAGGCCTCTTCTTTAAATCCAAGGACCCTGGAACTGGACTGAGCAACACCGCAGGCTCCAACTCCCTACCCCATTTTAATAGGATTCCCCAAGAGCCACCCTCTCTTTCCTAATCAGAGCCTCTTTTGACCCATCCAAATCCTTCCAAATGACCAGCCCAGTCTCTCCTTGCTGAACTGAAGGGAGACTCCATTGGGGTTCCTCTCCCAAACTGAAGTGTACTTTTCTGATTTGCTTGGACTTTGTCTTCCAGAAACAGGAGAGGAGGGGCGAGCTGCAGGTGAGGGACTGGATTAAAGTCAGAGGAACAGATAGCCCTGCCGTGTGACTGTGGGTATGGTCAACAGGAAAGGCATGGTGAGTGGTGGGACTGTTTCCTCAATTGTCTGCATCTCCCTACAGGCTCTGTGGGTGGATCAGGGCTGGGAACTCTAGCCCTGGCCCTGGGGATCCTGGGAGGCCTGGGACTAGCCGCCCTGCTCATTGGGGCCATCATGTGGCGAAAACGGCAACATCGAGGAGAGGAGAGGTGAGTGGAAAAAAAAGACTCCTGACAAGGGGCTTCGGCAAATACACGAGGTGGGGGATGGAATGACAGAATGCTAGGAATTATGTGCCATGTACAGAATTTTCCTTACTCCTCCTCCTCAGAAAGGCCCCAGAAAACCAAGAAGAGGAGGAAGAACGTGCAGAGCTGAATCAGTCAGAGGAGCCAGACGCAGCAGAGAGTGGTGCAGGAGGGCCTTAAGGGACCCTTAGGAAGAAACCCACCCATCAGCTCCTTTGCACTGGACTGGTCCCTAACCATCTCTCCCCTGTAAAATGTTCCTCCCCACCTTGCCACACTTTGTTCCACAACCAGACCTCTCCACGAACTGTGCTGAGTAAACACTTGACACATGGGTGCCATGCGTGTTTGTGTGTTTCTGTAAAAGGGAAAGAGACAACTTAATCCCTGCCCTGAGATCCCTGAAGTCGAGAGGGGCTCATCTCTATGCTTCCCATACCATACCAAACATCTACTCAAGCCGGGGAGAAGAGGAGTCTGTTCTGGAAAGAAGGAAGGAAGGGAGAACTGGGGAAAGAGTTCCATCGATACATTTCATCTTTTTTATTGAATTTATCATAAAGGAGGTAGTGAGGGGAGGGGAGCAATTAAGAGTTGGAACTCATATTAAGCACTGGGAAGAGGAAAATTAAATTAAATCAACAAGAGGAGGAATGGAAGAGAGTCAGAGGGAGCCTTGCCCACCTTTCAACATCAATTCATAAATCTGGAGGAAAACAAAAGATTAGGAGAGAGGAGAAATGGATGTTGTCTTCAGTCTGTCCTCCTCCCCCAGGACTGGAGTTTCATTGCAAGAATTCAGAGAATTCCAGCAAGAATTCAGAGCAGCTCAGAGCAGCTGGCTTTCCCTTCCTATGCACAGAAGTGACTCCTCTCCATGACCTCCTAGAGAGTGGCCAGGGTTGACCTTAGCCAGCAGAAATGGAGGGCGTCACAAGAAGAAAGGGTGTTCAGAAATAAGGAGGGGTCAGTAGGGACCCCCAATACTGATTCTCTTCTGGCTGGAGGTGGGCAGGATGGAGACACAGCTCAAATACTGAGCAGCCAGAAAAAGAAGAAGATGGCAAGAAACAGGAAGAGGGAATCCTGCCAACTGGAGACTGGGTGACCCTGTCCCAAATCCACACCTGTAGGAGAAAGGGAAAAAGATGTTGGAACGATCACACTGGTAGACTAGACAAGGGGCTGGGAGAGGACTCCTTGGTAGGAGCTAAGGAAAGATTCTTACCTGCGCCCCTGCGGAAAGGCTCATGGGTATTGAAGACGGTGGTAAAAAAGCCAAAGGGAAAAGCACCAACACCAAATGAGAAGTGAAAGCCCCCGGTATCACCAAATGGTTGAAATCCCTAGAGAGGCAGAGAAAGTCAGGAAAGCTGGCACATCTTTGGCAAGGAAAGTACACAACTGGACAAAAAACAAACAAAACTCCTCTCACCCCTCTGCTCTCAGGAGCTGGTCGCTGGCCCTGAGGACGGGGTGGAGTTTTCAATCTGAAAGGGAAAAGACTGTCAACAGGGCATCTCCTCTCCCAAAACTTACCCCCAGCCAAAGCCTTCCAGCTTCGCTGGGCACCAATTCTGGAATCTGACCTGGGATCCTGGGGCTTCTGGCTCCCTCGCCCATAAAGAGGGACAACCTTATCTCTGCTGATGCCAGCTTTGCAGACAGGGCATTCTTGCCGGTCGGGTCGTGTCTCCAGCCACTGAGGAGGAATAAATAAAGTGGTTTCAAACACATGGAGACTCTTTTAGTTCCTCAGACCTCCCCCATTTTCCTCTTCATCTCCTGAATACCCACCTGATGAAGACAAGGCCAACTAGATGGAGGAAGGGGGGAAAAAAGTCACACTTCAGTTACAAGACAGAGTTACTGACCCCAAACTTAACAGAATCCCACCTCACTCCTCTTCCCAGGTATTACCTCCTATCCTTCACATTTTTTGCAACCTCTACCATGCCAGCTAACCTGGCCTTCCTACTTTTCTGATCTTCCAACATCTAGAGTTCCCTCCATCTAGAGTTCCCTCCATCGACCCTCAACACTTTCGACCTTCTCTCCCCTAACTCCTCTCTCTTTCTCTCTCCACTCCCTTCCCTTCTCTGCCTTTCCAATTCTCTTCAACACACCCCATTCCAGGTCTCCTTTTCAACTCCAACCTATTCTTATCTCCATCCTGGCCAGACCAAACCCTCTTCACAAGCACATTCTCCCACTGCTCTTTTTCCTCCTTAAAAGCTTCTATTCCCTCATTAAAGCTTCTATTTCCACGATCAATCATGCCCCTCCACATTGTCCCAGTTCGTCCCTCTTCCCACATATCACTTGAACGTGGGCCCACACCGTCCCTGGGTCAATTACTCAAGTGATATGTGCCTCCCCTAACCTTTTGACTCTCTTCTGTTTTTATCTATACAGCTAAGAAAAGTCCAACTTCCCTGGGGTAAGGTGGCTCGGTCTCACTTGCACAGGGTGGAGCACAGATGAAGGCGCCGAAGTCCAGGGTCCCATCCCACACGCACCAGCTCCTAATTTCTAGGACCCTCCTTTCCAGACATCTCTGTCGTAGACGCGATCCTCCCACCCACATAAACCAGCCAAGACCTAAGGTCTCCCGTAGGCCATGTGCCCTCCGATTATCTGTATGGGTGTATGGTCCCTCCCTCCCGGCCTCCCCACCGTAGAGATGAACCCCACCACCTTCTGCTCCGGTCCCAGACTCTCACCAATACAGGTGGCCACACACACTGACCACAGCTTCCCGAGCGGTCTCCAAACATATATTACATTCGAAGGTCGCGCCTGCCCCGCCCCGCTCGCGGTTTGGCCCTTCAGGGCCCCCGTCCTCCTCTTCTGCAGCTGCCATGGCCGGTTCGGTTTCGCCCCCACGTATTCCCTCAGCCCCCGTACACACACACACACACACACACACGCACACGCACACGCACTCACACACACATACACGTACACGCCCCAACAAATGAGAAACCGCCTCCTGCCCACAATCGTTGGGCAGGCTTCAAGGTTTTCTAATGGCTATTGGCCTGGGTGCCTGTCCATCACAGAGATTCAAAAGAAAGGATTGGCCCAAAGGATGGGGGCGGCAAAAGGTTTACGCGGTCCTGACCTTGCATAATGATTATTGGTTGATTGCAGTCACAGTACTTATGCACTGTCAAGAGATTGGTAACACCCGAGGCTGTCACCGGGCCAGAAAAGCTTTCATTCGCCTGAGTAGCTGCCAGTCATAACCAAGATCCTGAAGTTAATTGGTTCAGGTCTACATAGACCTCGCCCACTATGGGCCTCTTTCTTTCCTTCACTTCCTCCTTCAAAGAATGTCCGGATTCCTATTGGACTTTGGAGTGTATGCTCCAAATCAAGTGATTGGCTCCAAGACCAACCATGGTGGTTAGTCCCACCCCTTTACCTCTATCTCGTTGCCATGGTGACGGCTCTGCAATTGGCAGGGTTTGCAATTCAAAGGCTTTGGCTTGGCCTCATCCGGGTCTTTCGGCTGTGGCCCCTCTCGGCTGATTGGACCGTTTCTCTCGCCCCTGATTGGCCAAAACCCAAAGAGACGGCGCAGTGCACGGAAAAGGGGGCCGGTGGGAGGGGGAAGAAAACTAGGGTCGCAGGGTTCAAAATGGCTCCGGCCTCCTTGGGTGACGTAGAGGGCAGAACTTGGGTCCGCCCCTCCCTCTTAATGAAGAAGGAAGCAGAACTGGGATTAGCCCGACGTTTGGATGCTACGAACATCGATCTTCGGCGCTGGTGTTAACCCAACTCCCTCAGCTGGACGACTCAGCCCGCCCCTCTTTAGGTGATTTACAGAGCAGAACTGAGCTACAGGCCCACCCCCTCCTAACGTGACACCGAGCAGAACCGAATCGACCTCGGCTCCGTCTTAAACATTAAGAGCAGAAAAGGCCTTTATGAGTGGATGCAGAAGGGACAAGACCCACCCCTTTTTAGGTGACCCGCGGCAGAATGGGGTTAGGCCCGCCCCTTCCTTCTTGTAATTTGCCCAGCAGAACTGGGGGCTTCTTCCTGGCTGGACCCCTAGGAGCTTGGGCCTATCCTACAGTCAGTGACCCTCACTGTGGCCCCAGGACCAGAACTAGGTAACAGTCCTCTCACTACCAGTGTTCTTTACATCCTCTTCACCTGGGCGTGTAAACTCATGCAATGCAAAGGTGTGTCTGGGGGCAGGAGGCAGACACCGGCTAAGGGCTGTCTAGGAACATTGGGATTAAAAGGTCCCTGGTGATTCCAAAATCAGGAAAAAATGAGAAGCTGGAAATTGCGTAGAGAAGGAAAGGAGAGGTTAGGATTTTGGAGGCTTGAAGAACGTTTTGAAAGGGAGAGATGGAAAACAAGGAAGGAATGGGATGATCCTGAGTTTGAGGAAGAGGAGGGCCAGAACTGGAGTGCTAGAAACACACGTAAAACATTTAAGGAGACGTGCTCATCCCAGAGAAATCAGTATCCTTCCTTTTTCTCCCCCCCCCCACCAAAGCAATGCCTTAATACCCAGTTTCCATAAAAAAAAAAGATGCATTCAAACTCCACATGAGAGGGAGGGATTGTCTCAGCTGGGGTGCTTTAAGGAGACTGATAGGAGGAAACTAGGAAAGAAGTGCAGCGATAAACAAACAGGAAAGGGAAATGGGCCAGAAGGACAGAAAGTACCCATTCTCTTTAAAGGCCAGAGAGGGTGGGTGGAGGAAGGAGCTAGGAGCTAGACTGCTGGCCACAGAGAGGGCAAAGGGCAAAGAGACTACACCAAAAGGCTAGAGTACGAGGTGGGGAGAAGATGGAGCCCTAAAAAGAAAAAGAACTGAGCTCAGTGTTTGCAAGTAGGTGCTTGATAAGTAACCATAATGGAACGGGGAACAGGAAAGGGGATCTTGGGAACGAGTTGGGAGTTATTCCAGGGACAAAGCATTGATACTGGAGTTTAAAAGAAAGGGATTTTTTTTTAATCCGAGAGAAAGCCCAGTAGACGTGGCAATAAGAGGAGAGCGAGTGGAGAATGAAGAAAAGGAGTGTATGGAAGGAGGAATCGACATCCGTGAGGGATCCCCAGCTGAGTGTGCAGAAAGGCAAGAAGGAAAAAAGATGCAGCCGGAGGCTGGCGGAGCCCAGCTCAGCTCTCCTGGGGTGGAGCTAGCGAGAGGACACTGGTAGATGTGGAAAGGAGATGACCGGGTCTCTAGGAGGCGATTGGCAAAAGAGACAGTCCATCACCACCCCCCACTTCCTGGCCGGCCCCGGAAACTAGCGGGCGTACGGGAGGGTGGGGGAGATAGCGGCAGCAGCAGCAGCAGCAGCAGCCCCAGCCCTCAGAGAGACAGCAGGAAGGGAGGGAGGGTGCTGGGGGGACGACCCCCCCCCAATCCTACCGCTATGGGTCCAACCTCCCACTCCCACTTCCACTCCATCGGCCGGGGCTAGGAAACCCCCAAATCCTGTCCGCCCCTCTTGGCACCGACAGAGACAGAGACACAAGCAGCCGCCGCCACCGCTGCCGCAGCCTGGCTGGAGGGGGCCAGCCCCCCAGGCCCCCCACCTCACTGAGGTGTGGGCGGGAAAGGGGGAGGAGGGAGGGGGTGCTGAGAGGGACTGGGGTGGGGAGAGTTTGGGGCTGGGAGGGCCGACTGGGGAGAAGGTTGCTGGGAAAAAGGTCAGGGCCGACTGGGAAGAGGATTGCTGGGGAAAGGAGAGAGGGGCCTGAGCGGAAGCATGGGAGAGACACGGGTGGGAGGGGATGTGGAAACTCTGAATGTGGGACGGGGGTGTCGACAGGGAATCCTGGGAGAGGGAATTCAATACACATTCCCCAATTTCTCTTTGTGCCCTTTGGCCCCACACGACTTTTTCTCTGGTTGGTGAGGCGGCCAACAGAATTGCTTCTTAGAAATAACCCTCAGGCACCTCGTTTCCCTACAGGCACAGAACCTCATTTTCCAGAGGCCTTCCACACAGTGCTAGATTATTGACACATAAATGCCTCTAGGGGCTGGGGATGTTAATATATTGACTGTGTGCCTTTGACTTGTGTAATGGCTGTGTGCAGCTTGGTTGTCCTTATGCTATCCAAAGGCTTTGGAGAGATGATGTTTTGATTATCTGTCAGAATTGCCTATTCTCATATCGTGCACAACTAGTTTTGACATGTGTGAGTACTGCATGTGTGTGAAGGTTGTTTAATTGCATCTCTTGTGTGGTTTCATCGTTCCTACATGTTTTATGTTTGTGCATGTATAGGTTATAAACTTCATTTTTGGCCTCAGATCCATGCTTCTGCCTAATAGGCGTTTTCATGTGTGGGACCCTGTGGCTTAGCGGCAGTACACACACTTGTGTTGTGATGGGCTTAGTGGGTTTCCATAGTTGTGATTCTTACCACATGTGTGCATGCCTCTTTGAAGGACGGATATGTCTGTGTGGCACATGCATAGTATGTGTGCTTCTTGTTACACCTACCATTTATTTCCTAAATTCATTGTCAGTATATACTATTTGTGGAGCTGTATGCTCATTAACTATGCATTCAAGTGTGTTTATAATGCCTTCAACATGTCTAGAGAATATTACTTGATATCAAAAATTTGAGAAGGTAACTTATTCTCTCAATTTTTTTTCCAATGGTACTGAGTTTTAAATTCAAGACCTAGTCCTTTCTAGACAGATCCTCTACCACTTGAGCTATACCCCCAGCCCTTTTTTTTTTTTTTAGTTATTTTTTTGGCTAGGGTGTCGTTTTTCTGGCCAGACCACACCAGGACCATCTATACCTCCTGTATTGCTTGAGTACAAGGGTGAATCACCACACCTAGCTTGTTGGTTGAGATGGGTGGTCTCACTAAATCACTCCCTCAGCTGGCTTCCAGAGTAACTAAGATTACAACGGTGAGCGGCTACACCTGGCTCCCAAAAGATCATTAAATACCTTTCCTTAATGACTCTCTTGGCCTCTCCGTACACATTATCGCTTCATTCGCTGTGTTCCTTGGCTTAATTCAAGTCCAAGAGTCAGGCCCACTGTGAACTCTCATCACCCATATTTTTTGTGGGCCATAAGGCCCCACTCTTTGCATTGTTGGTACCTATGTGGTGGCAAGAGTGTCTTCCCTCAGTGGCTGACATGACAGTTTTGTGAGATAACATCTCCTCTCTACCTTCACTGCAGCCATGTATTCTCTATGAACATTCAGAATACATTAACTCTTAGGCTTAGTACAAAAACTTTTTCAGTGACTTTTCCAGCTAGCATTTCTTGAGAGAGTAATTACTAGATTCATAATCAGAACTCACATCCGGGAGCAGAAGCTATTGCTTCATGGCCAGAAGGAATCCTTAATATTGATAGAACAATAATGTGTACAAGTATTACAATTCACTGCCAACTTATTGAGTACTTACGGTCCTCACCTGACATTGGAGATAAGACAGAATCTTGTCTTCCTGTTTGTTAGAACCTAATGGGAAAGAAAATAACAGTGAGGGGCTGGGAAGATGGCTCAGTGGTAGAGCGCTTGCCTTGAATGCCTCTGAGGCCCTGGGTTCGATTCCTCAGCACCATATAAGCAAAAAGAAAAAAGCCGGAAGTGGTGCTGTGGCTCAAGTGGTAGAGCGCTAGCCTTGAGCTGAAGAGCTGAGGGACAGCGCCCAGGCCCAGAGTTCAGGCCCCACGACTGCACCCCCTCCCCCCCCCAAAAAAAGAAAATAACAGTGAGTGCTTACACCCTATGCTATCAGAATCAGTGGTTTCTCAGTGCATATCAGATTTACCTGGATAGCTTGTTAAATTACAAATTACTTGGCCCAGAATTTCTGATATACAGAATTTCTGATTCTGTATATCTGGGCAAGGTTCAATAATTTGCATTTCTACATCTTTAGAACCACTGGTCAAGAAAAAAGAAACTGATTAAAGCATAGGTCAGAAATATTTGAAGTGTGGTAGGAAGGTATAGAAGCAT